GTCATCAGTTAACTTCTTATTTTTTTTTTCCCAAAGTCTCAAAAAATAGACAACTAATATTTATAAATAAAAATAAAAGATAATTTTAAAAAATAGATCATGCCAAATCTTATAGACGAAAAAGAAGAAATACTTCAAAATCATTCTACTTCATCTGTATACACCTGATAAATGAAGATGCAATATCCTAAATAACATATTAAGAAGTTGAATTAGAAATTAATGTTTAGGCTCGGCGCCTGTGGCTCAAGCCGCTAAGGCACCAGCCACATACACCTAAGAAGGCTGAAAAAGTGAAACTTTTTCTCTAAAAAAAAAAAAGAAAGAAAAGAAAAAGGAAAAGAAATTAATGTTTAAGCAATGTACTTTGGTCAAAATTAAATCCGTAAAATTAATTTATGTGAGAATTAGTCACTATTTTATTTTATTTTCCTTTCTCTCACCCCCTCCCTCCTTTTCTGTCTGCTCTCCCTTTTCCCTATGCCCCATCGTGTCATTAATTGTCATTAATTGTCCTCATATCAAAGTTGAATACATAGGATTCATACTTTTCCCTTTCTGTGATGCTTCACTAAGAATAATATGTTCCACCTCCATCCAGGTTAATACAAATACTGCAAAATCTCCATTTTTTTAATGGCTGAATAGTATTCCATAGTATACATATACCACAGCTTGCCAACCCATTCCTGGGTTGAAGGGCATTTAGGCTGTTTCTGCATTTTAGTGATTATAAATTGAGCTGTGATAAATGGTCTGGTACAAATGTCTTTATAGTAAAAGGTTTTTTTTTCCTTCTGGATAAATGCCCAATAATGGGATTGCAAGATCAAACGGGAGGTCTAGGTTGAGTTCTTTGATGTTTCTCCATACTTCCTCCAACTGAAAAAGGTTGTATTAGTTTGCAGTCCCACCAGTAGTGTAAAAGTGTTCCTTTCTCTCCACATCTGCACCAGCATCTGCAGTTTTGAGATTTTGTAATATTGGACATTCTCACAGGAGTTAGATGATAGTCAGGGTGGTTTTAATTTGCACTTAGCTAATAATTAGGGATGATGAGCATTTTTTCATGTGTTTGCTACCCATTCATCTGTCGTCTTTAGAGAAGGTTCTGTTCATCTCTCTTCCCCATTGATGTATGGGATTGTTTGTTTTTTTCTTGTGGATTAATTTAAGTTCTGTAGAGATCCTAGTTATTAAGCTTTTGTCTGATTCAAAATACGCAAATATGGCTCGGTGCCTGTGGCTTAAGTGGCTAGGGTGCCAGCCACATACACCTAAGGTGGTGGGTTCGAATCCAGCCCGGACCCACCAAACAACAATGATGGCTGCAACCAAA